CCTCCTACTTCTAATTTTTAAAATTTTATTTATTATTTTTATTTTATGTGTATGAGTGTATTGCCTGCATGTATGTGAGTGCACCCGTATCAGGCAATGCCGTGGAGGTCAGAAGAGGGCTTTGGATTCTCCTGGAACTGGAGTTAAGGATGCTTTGTAGCCACCATGTGGGTGCTGGAATTGAACCCGGGTCCTCTGCAAGAGCAGTCAGTGCTCTTAACCGCTGAACCATCTCTCTAGACCCAAAGACTCATAATTCTTAAAGGAACAAATTCAACTGATGGAAACTAAAAGATTTTGATAACCTAGAATTTTTTTAAAACTTCTTTGAAGAATTAAAAATTTTTTCTTTAAAGGACATTATAATATTTTTTAAAGAGGAAATAGTTGTCTAGTTTTAGAGTAACTAACTCAGTTAAATATATTTTATTTATTTTTACTTTATGTGTAAGAGTGTTTTGCCTGCATGTATGCAAACACATCTGTGCATGTGGTACAAGCAGAGGCCCGAAGAGAACATCAGATCCAGTGGAACTAGGGTTACAAATGGTTGTTAGCCACCGTGTGGGTGCTAGAAACTGAACACCAGTCCTCTCCAAGAGCAGCCAGTGGTCTTAACTACTGAGCCATCTTTCTAGTCCCCTAACTCAGTTTTTCATGAGAAATCTTGAAAAATATTTGGAGAAAATAGGTGAAAAATTTAAATAGCCTATACTTTTTCTTGTAAAGATTTGTATGCAGATATGAAAACAGTAATATTATTAAAATATTTGTAGTTTTTAATAACATGTTAATGCTTTTGATAAAAAATATATATTCTGTGTCCAAAATATTAATAATGTTAAAAATTTCAGACCCATGTTTTTTTTCTGTCATAAACCATGTTATCACACAACTAATTGAAAGTTAAAATGTCTTACGAATAATTTAAAATCAAAAGCCTATGAAGTTTTATAGATTATTAAAATATTTGTAGTTTTTAATAACATGTTAATGCTTTTGATAAAAAATATATATTCTGTGTCCAAAATATTAATAATGTTAAAAATTTCAGACCCATGTTTTTTTTCTGTCATAAACCATGTTATCACACAACTAATTGAAAGTTAAAATGTCTTACGAATAATTTAAAATCAAAAGCCTATGAAGTTTTATAGCTAGAAAAAAATTGTCATCATGTAACTTACTTGTATTTTATAAACAAAAAAACGAAAACCATAGAACTTAATTGATTTGCTCAGTGTCTTTCAGAAGTTACCTATAAGTTTTCTAGTCCCTAGTTCACTTAAAAATGTTTAAATTAATTTGTATATGTGGGGTTGGGTGAATGCAATCACTAGTGTGGGTGCATGTGGAAGCTAGAGGCTGACATTAGGATGTCTTCCTCAATCACTTTTCCACCTTAGTTTTGGGGACAGGGTCTCTAATTGAACCTGGAGCTTGTCATTTTAGCTAGACTATCTGGCCAACAGGCTGCAGTGCTGGGGTTATAGATATGCATTGCCACACCCACCTTTTTTGCATGAATGCCTGTGCTTTGAACTCAAGTCCTTATGGTTATACACTAGACAGTTTACCCACTGAGCCATCTTCCCAGTCCTCTACCCTCACCAGTTGACTTTGAAACATGGTTTTTAAATTCTGATAAAAGTAGAATTGTCTTAGTAGGATGAACTACTTCAGGATGACATTATTATAAGGAAAGTGTGAATAATAAGCCTAACATAAAGAAAATAGTTTAACTGTTATTTATGTGAAGGTTTAAAAGTTACTTCTGTTGCATGTATTAGTAATAGCTTCTTTATGAGTCATTTTGTAGAAATTTTAAAATAAAATTTTCTCTTTTTTTCAGGGTGGGGAACTTCAGAGTACTCTTGTGTTTGGGGAAATAGGTCGCCGCCTTAAGGATGTCGGGAGTGAGGTGGCAAAAAAAGTAAATGCTGTGTTTGAGTGGCATATCACAAAAGCTGGAAATATTGCAGCCAAGTGGAGTAAGTCATGTGCCTGACTTATAATATTCTTTTTTTTTTTTGTCTTTTTGAGACAGGGTCTCCCTGTAGCCCCAGCTGTCCTGGAACTTACTATGTAGACCAGGCTGGCCTCGAACTCACAAAGATCCACCTGCCTCTGCCTCCCAAGTGCTGGGATTAAGGGCATGCATCACCACTCCCAGCCAACTTATAGTATTCTAAGTTAAGTCTGACCCAAGTTTTTTTTTTTTTTTTCATGAGAACCAACAGGTATCAGAGCATTAAAAAAACATGTATTTTTAAAATTACGTTCTTTGACAGTTTCATACATGTGTATTATACATTTTAATTATTTTTACCCTCGCCTCTCTTATCATCCCCACCCTACCAGTCCCTTCTCTACCAATTCCTTTCCCACATTCATGCCTTTTTGTTTTGTGACCCACTGAATTTAACCAGGGCTGTCCATGAGAACATGGGTGTGGAACTGTCCATTCCAGTGGTGGCTCACCAGTGGCTCTGTAGCTGAAGACAATGACTTCGTCTTCCCAAATCCATCATCAACCAGTAGTTCCCCATGGAGGATCGGCCCCATGGGCCCCTTCATCCCTTAATAACCAGTAGTTCCCCATGGAGGATCGGCCCCATGGGCCCCTTCATCCCTTAATAACCAGTAGTTCCCCATGGAGGATCGGCCCCATGGGCCCCTTCATCCCTTAATAACCAGTAGTTCCCCATGGAGGATCGGCCCCATGGGCCCCTTCATC